CATGCACAAAATGCATGTTGCTTTTAGCCAGAAGTGATAATGTCTTGTCCGTTTGCTGTCCTTTAAAGACATTATGTATTGCTAGTCCAGGATAGTCATCAGACAACCCTAATTCTGCTCACTGTGTTTTGACATAAAGAAGAGTGATTTTCTCAATATATTCTGTCATTTATTCCTCGTTCAACCAGTTTTTTACTGTATACGTTATATGCCTGTTATTTGGAAAGGTATACCAACGGAGAAAAGCCGGAGTTTTCCCTTAATAAATTAATTGAAGGGGCAAAAATTTTTCATGTAGTGTGCCACAAGACAAACCACTTATTTGTCTCCTGTTGCTGATACCAGCGATCTCAAACATCTTTTTTCCCTTCTCATCCATTGTCCAAGGAGCTATTCTAATACCAGTCTGGTCCCAATTGAATATTAGTTGTGTGGGTATTTCATCCATGACTACAACTGACTCAATGTCAAACAAATATTGTTGCTTCAACTCCTCAAAATTGCTAACTGTGGTCTTGGCCACTGAGCTCCCCCTTCTTTTCACAAAATTGAGTCTGTACAGTAAAGACTCTGCCCAGCTTGTGGTAATAACGATAGGCCTCCATTTTCAGCTAATAAATTTGTGTCTTTCTAAGAAGGCTGTAGCAGCAGCAGCTGTAATCCTGTAGTAACAATTGCTCCTCCATCACGTAGAGGATGTATGTAGCATTTAATATTTGTGTCTACCCTTTCCCCCAAAAGCAAAGGCCTTCCTCTTGTCTTACTAGGCAAACTTCAGACATCTGGAGTTTTTTTCTTCTTAAGTCAATGCAGCCAAATATTTCAGTTTCCATGTTAAAACAGCTAGGCTTCACAGTGATACCAAATTCCTTTGAAAAATGATGAACAGCCGCATTATTGCTGTGTTGACAGGCATACTTGGCTACCATTGCCTGTTCCTCAGGGGATATTCTTTCAAAGGTTCCTCTAGTTTTACGCTCCTCCATTGACAATGATCCACTCTGCCGTCCAGTTGACAATACTACATTAACTGCAGCTTTATTTGCATCATTTATAACAGCCAGTTCTAGACTTTCTGATAATTTGCCATTAGGATTAAGTAGAGAAAAGTCGATAGGAGCTTCTGTGAAATTGGAAGAGGACTTAAAGTAACAATAAAGGGCCATGTTGAAACATGCGGATAGCAATTGCTGACACGTAGGCACACAGGAAATTGTAGTTCAGTCAAAATTTTAGATAGATTAAAATTTTGTTGTCTAAAAGTTTTGTTTAAAATTTTGGAAAACAGAACAAATGAAAATTAGCACTTAAAGAAAATTTCTTGCTATACGATAGTGAAAGTTAATAGTTAAATTTAGAACAAACCAATTGGAAAAGTAAAATATAATAGAGTTGTTAGGAAATAGTGAATCACCAACTTCAAAACTGACCTCTCCACTATTACCTTGTCCCCAATATGCAAAGGTTTGTTGATCCTTGGACAGAATATATTTCACAGATCAAATTTTTTGTTTTGAAGTACATGTGATTACAAAACTTATGCTTCTGGAAACACTTTGTGCTGAGAAATGCAGTGATCTTTGCCAGTCTTGAAGAAACATGCATCTCTTTTTGCTTTTGCATTTACAATCAATGTCATTATAATAGCTGCTACCATGTCAGTGTAAACTACGGCTGCTCAAGTCAAATTGTGGCTTTAGTTCTGACTTGAGTTCAAGGACAAAAAGCCGAGATGGAGTCGAAGTGGCACATACAGCTGAAATAGGAGGTACATGAGACTGACAGCCATTTTCATTTCAATGACATGCCACAATTACTCATTTTGCCGCCAAAAGCAATGAATGTACTCACACAAGTCATGTGACTTCCTCTTTCTCACTTCCAATCACGTGAGACTAAGCGACATTCATAGAAAATTAATAACACTCATAGGTTTTGCTAGTATATTCATTAGCGCAATAACTTACTGGACATTAATGCTTTGACTTTCTTCAAATGGTAGTTTAAAAATCACTACAACATAAACAATTATTAATGATAAGAAAACTGCATCAGGTAATAGGGAAAAGTAGTATTATGTCACGTGATCAATGAAATAGTGAATTTGCTGCTTGTCTAAAATCCATGTCTGACAAATGCCACTTTACACAAGGCAAATGAGAATATCAGCTTCAATTCCAAAGGAACATAAATTTGCTTAGTAACTACAACAAGTAAGTTCATTAAGTGTGAAAAGTTATGCATGAATTTTTTCAATATTTAACATTCAATGATCTAGAAGTTCTAAACGGTGTGTGGAAAAAATTTAAAAATAGCTGAAGTTGTACAACTTTTTATTTTCTATAAAATGGCATCATTTTTTTTAATATTAAATCTTCATCCAAAAGTACCTTAATACACTATTCAAGTTATTCCTCAAAAATGTAAGATATTTATTTCATGACAGGCATTAATTGTATACATGCATGCAGACATTTTAGAGACATTGCTACACAACTGGTAACAGAACAGTCAATTTTATCAGTAAAGACAATGATGAGAAAGTAAAGAAGTGAAGGGTAGAGATATTGTTTCTCTACTTCTGAAAAATATAGATTATAATAGTCAATCATTTTCAATTAGTAATTCATGCAAACAGAATCACACATTTAGTGCAGGTAATGGAACTTATTTGGGAAGACAGTCTCAGCTTAAGAAGCTTCAGTGGCAGATTCTTCTGTTGATGATGAGTGTGAAGACTCACACTCTTATCATCTTATGATCGTTTGCCACTATCTTCTGTTATAAGTTCAGCTTCGGATGATGACAATAGCTTTAATGAACAATTTCAAGAATCATTCCCTAAAGAAGTAGTTACAGAAAAAGGATCTTAGGGTATGCTAAAATATTCATGGTATCCTTTTAAAAAAAGCCAACAATGAGCAATGCATTACAGATTTAGAATGGGCTCTTTGTATGTATGTCTTTCAATAGTGTTGGACAAAATGATATGAAATCATATAGAATGATAAAGTCGCAGCATTAATATCACAACTTGGCTGTTAAATGAAGAATTAATGTTGATGATTTACTAAGCCAAAAACCAGACATTGCCTACCTTCACCTACATATAGTGTCATATCACTTCTTCCATCAGTCAATGATGATGTTAGCCATACTGCCGATAATAGGACACTGTCTTTGAGAATATTACTAAAAACAGTGCCAACTTTTTAACTTAAATTTTTCTGACCAGATTTTTGGACATTATTCATAGAAGCAAGTGTAGATAAGGGGAAAGGAGAGTGTCTAACAGCTCTATGATAGCCCGTTACATGTCTGCCTAGAGTACTCTAAGACCTTCGTTAGCACCTGTCTTTGTCTAGTAAACTCTTCAGTAAATTTAGGGCGTAACTTAAAAACCAATGCCACGCCTTTCCCACGTGGAAGAACATGGAGTCATCTTCCGAGGATAGTGACTGTACAAATCCAGACAATGACTATATTTATAAGCCAAGAAGTTCAAGAATAGCCAAAAGGTTAAAAGGAGACAGTGAGAGTAAAGACAATGCTACATCCACTTGTGCAATGTACACTAGTCCCAAAACAAGAAGGAAATCACTTGCATCTACCAAGAAAGCTCTAAGGAAGCAAGCAGCACCTAAAAGAAGACCAGGAAAGCCATAATCTTAGATATGTTGCGTGGCTTGGATACTCGAGTTACAAAATGAAATTGAGGCTCACATAGCTTAGCAAATCAGATCTAGTAACCATAAATGTAAAGAAATGACTGCAATACTGAACAGTTTTACTGAAGATATTCATCTATTGAAAGAAGCTATTGATTGCCACTGTGACATTTTCATTAAATTATATGCAGAAACTAGTACTGGTAAAGAAAGGTACTTACGGCTTCAGATTGAATGTCATGCTAAATGCCGCTTATTTCTATTGCCAAAGCATATACCAACAGATGAAAATGCAAGTAAAGCTGCATCAGCCTTTCGAGAAGGTTGGTCAAGGTTCAAAGAAACCAGTACACATTTGATTGATGATTGTGACAGAATCATGATCCTGTTCTCCTCAGCTTTGTACAATATTTTACTAAACAAGATACATTCACAATCGATTACATCTTCAGCTCAAGTACAAACTGAAGATATTGTCAATGCTGATGGTGATGTTTATTTCCGTTTTGGTGGTGCTGTAATATCAGATATGCTTCACCTTTGATATAAGCAAATCAGAACATGCAGTGATTCAGAAAAGAAAAGCAGCATTTCAGAGCAGATATCTATTGTATAATCAATGAACACTAAAGAGAAATTGGATATGC